GTGATCTCACACTTGCACAACCCGCGAAACTATCAAATTGCAGGTTTTCCCGCAATTTCCGCACAGATTTTCAGTCGTAACGCCGCATTTCACCATGACCTCCCTTCAAAACGAAGTCCCAACGGGGGTTCATGGTAATGCGGCTCAAGTGGATGTACCTGTAGAACACAGTTTTTTTGTTTAAGATTTGAATTTGTGGTACAATATGTGTGAAATATTTAGTAAGTGCATATACATATAAAATTATGGTAAATGTTTCCCTAATTTCATAATGCCTTGCTAACCCATAAGACCGTGCAAGGTTCTGTGCTCCCGTACACAAGGCGCCAACCAAGCTGTCCTGAAGAGATGCGTCAATAGAAGAAGAAAAAAAAACGCCAGCAGGGGGAAAAGGACAGAATTACCGTCGCGTCTTCTTTTTGATAGCTCCCGGGAGAGTACCTGTTTGTTGGGTGCCCTACCTGTTTTGCCGAGACTGGCTTTTTATAACATTGACCTATGGCCTAGAAATAAGGAAACACGACCGGTTCACGACGAGTGCCGCACAACCCGAAAGTACACACGCTTACGTTCGCGACACGCATTCAGCAGCGAAATCTTGCTAACAGCCAACCATCTTCCGTGCATTGTACCATACGTGTCGCATCATCGTTTTTGCGAATGTACCAGCGGCCATGCTGTTTTGACCACGAGCAGGCAACAGCCTGAAGTGTGACCGCGATCGCATGACGTTTCTATGACGTCACTAACGCCAATGCAACTTTGAAATAGGCTCCAAATAAGCCTTTTCGCGCATTTGCGGACGTGTAACGCAGGAACCAGATCGTTTTGGGTTTTAAAAAGGATGCTACCGTGAACTGCATCAAAAGATCCTCAAGATGGCTATTTCAGTTCAAAACGCGATGGAAATGTGGAACATTCCCTTTAATGGCCGTTGTGTCTGAGTGTGTAAAATGGATGTGCGACTGTCTGTAATGTGTATGTGTGCGTGCTTGGTTAAGTTTTGTGTTTGGGTGTGTAACGTATATTTATTGTCTTTTGAGCTGGTATGCTTCCGTAGTTGGGCTTTTCCCTGTGGACTGCTTATGCCTTAGCGCGCTCGGGCGGCCGGCTGGATACCCCTCGCTCGGGTGGGGATGGGGGGGGGGGGCCAATTTACCCCTAAGACCTCGGGAACTAAGAGAGCTAGAGACACTAAATTCACAGGGTATGTTAACCTGCACGTGAAATCACTTGGGTGAAATTTTGAGGTTACTATGTCATGACCTTCGGGCTAAATACGGTCAAACAAGATCAAACTTGAGGCTGGTCTCCAAAGTACCCCAAAAATAGATAACTGTTTCTAAGCAAAAATTCGCGTGTTCATTTAAGGTCTGTGACCTTGTTTGACCTTTTGAAGGTCATCGTGGCCAACATCATACAAGATTACTCTGAGCTTTGCACCTGAATAAGCGGCAAAGATATCGTCAGACAATATGTTCCCAAAAACAAAGTGTTGACCTCGGTCATTTTAGGTCAATGACCTATTCTGACCTCTCAGAAGTCCCCGGAAGATGCATAATGCGTTTCTTGCTGTCAATAAATTCGACATGAGCACCAGAAACTACCCCATACAGTAAGCCCTAGAGCAATAAAACAGGTTGGTTTTGACCTTGGTCTGACCTTCATACCTGACCTTAAGTCAACATTATTTGCTCATCCAATATTTGTGCTACCTAAGAAACCATCTCAGAGATGTATAGCTTCGTCTAACATTCCGTTGTTGCATCAGAATGAAAGATTCCCTAGAAATTGACTCCGCTGAAACCATGGCCTGATTTTGACCTGCCATAGGTCAGTGAATTTACAAGGAACATCTCAATTGTTATGTCAAACGATTTGCTATTCAGTTGTCTATAGCTATGCAAAATGTGGCGCGGCTACGCCGCGCCGTTCGGAAGCTATTTTGGAAAACCTTCGGGGAGCCAATTTGACCCCCCTCCCCCACCCAAGCGCGTGTGAAACAAACAGACAACCTGAGCTGCAATGGGAGTGTTGGGCTGGTCTGCTAGAGACACTAAATTCACAGTGTTCTACAATTCACAATTAGCTACAATGGAAGTGCTGGACTGGTCTGATGGAGACACTGAACTGCGTTGGGAATGCTAAACTGATCTTCTGGAGACGCAGACGCAATTGGAGTGTTGGACATGGTCTGCTGGAGACAATGGACTGCATTATGAGTGCTCGACCGGTCTGCTCTAGACACTGAGCTGCAATGGAAGTGCTGGAATGGTCTGCTGTAGACACTGAGCTGCCATGGGAGTGCTAAACTGGTCTGCTGGAGACACCGAACTGCCATGGGAGTGCTAAATTGGTCTGCTGTAGACACTGGAGTGCAATGGAAATGCTAGACTGGGCCTGCCGGGAGTCTGGATTTGTCTGCTGGGTCCACCCCTGGAACGTCACGGTTGACAACAGAGCGTCTTGCACCTGCTCCTGCGTTCATCAACATGACGCATAGCACACCACTCTATATGCGTGCAGTTCGCTTCATCCAGAAAACACCGTTGCGCCTCAGCGTACGTAGACGCCCAGGGCGTGGATTTTATTCGACCGCAAACAAAATTGGGCACCCTCCTATCCAGCACACCGGTAGCGCCCGAACAACGGAACGCAAATTGGGCAACATTTTCGATCGTTCATCTCTTCCCATCGCTTCAGCAACGACCCTCAACCACTAAAATCAAAGAGCCGGCGGCCCCGCTCGGCTCCGCGCAACGGACGGGGTCGTCGCCCAGCACAGCGTCCGCCGAAACCGAATACGTTTGGCGGCAAACAGATTTGCCATTAAATCACCTCAGCTGGCTTGGGGAAAGGTGCTACGATGTAAGTTTTTGTCGTTGAACGACGACAGGCGAAGCTCTGTTACGACGGTTCTTACGGCCTATGCCGCACCACATGCTATTGCTGGGCCTATCACGGCAGCCGCACACAGATATGACATTCCGCTGGTGTGTCAGTTAATTTTGATATGCCAGCTTTGTTTAATGATTGTGATTTGAATAAGGAGAACCAGCTGTAACTCATAAAAATTCATGAACTTAAAACTCATGAGCTCACAAGTCATTTCACCATAAATTCCCGGCCGCAGTTCAAATTAGCTCCACAGTTACTGAGAGCAAACACAGTTGCTGAGTTACCACGTCACTGGACACAAACGCTATAACACGCAGTACTCATCCGAAAAATCGGAGCCCTTCACAAAACGTCACTTCTCACAAGACAATAATAGTAGACGGAAAAATGAAACCGGTATTTTGCATTTGTTTCTGATGCAACCGTTTCAACAGCAGGGCACAACAAACAAAAACAGCACAAAACGGCGGCATCCAAGCCTCCTCGAACCAGTCACTCTCACTTCTATACGCTCAGGTCAAGTCACGTCAAGATGCTGCGAGCAGTCCATCGCGTGCACCATCTGTCGGGCCACCGACGGAACTTGTTGTGTCAACAGACCGACACAACAGACGTTCAGAATCAAACGCTCCGAGACGTGAACTTCGTCAGTGCGCGTCTCGGTAACAAATTATCAGATTGACAATCTGAAGAGCTGCAGATACGGGCGGGAAGGGGGAGGGGCTTACAGCCACTATCCCCACACACACCTGGTGAGCCAGAGTACACCATGACTTGCACCGTAGCCAGCCTTTTGAATGTTGTCAACTCTTGCAATGGTCAGAACAACGGCGGTCATTTGCCTCTAGTCCCGCTCCGTAAACCAACGCATGCATGAACTAGCGACAGCTGCGTTCCGAACGCATATTTTGACCAGCTTAGCTTGATAACCTTCATCTTGCAGGATCGGCGGTTGGGCGCGTTCTTGTGGGGAATCGTTCGCAAACTGCAAGTCAAGACAAGCACCGTTCCCCAGCGACCCACCATTAAAGAGAGTGTTACACATTTGTATGCGGGTTTGAACTGAAACAGGCGTCTTGAAGGTCATGCGGTGCGATTCACGGCCCCGCCCTTCTTAGGACCTAAGACTTCCAATTTCTGGACCACAAGTCCGTGAAGATGTGCGGACTATTTCTGGGCGAATGCTTCAAGACCACCAAGGCACCCACGACGCCATAATAGCGCCATTCAAATCTTATCATTCCGCTGGCCCCGCAGCGATCAGTGCCAAGCAATGTATAGTTATCGAGTCGTTAATATCTGGCGTTCGTGAAGACGACTTCCAGATATCACAGCCGTCAAGTGAATCTCAATCAATATTGCGCGAAGTACGATCACGTAATCAAACAATAACGTATTGGGGAACATATTCACTTAACGCAGAAATTGTGTTGTCTAGAGCAGTCTTTTCCACATCAAAGTACGCAAATAATTATAAGCGTATTTCTTTCATTACATATGATGTTTGCTTCAAATCGCCAAATGTGAAACATTCCCTTTAACGAAGTACCCCTAACATGTGCGGGCTCGCACGTGATTATTCAAGCCAGCTCTGCGAATGAACGACTTGCCGCAGACGGTGCAGGAGAAGGGCTTGCCGCCGGTGTGCGTCAATGCGTGGCTGTTCAAGTCACTCGTCTGCCCAAACGCCCTGCCACAGACACCACACGCGTGAGGCTTATCCACACGGACACGGAGGACACCACACGCGTAAGGCTTATCCACACGGACACGGACACAGAGGACACCACACGCGTGAGGCTTATCCACACGGACACGGACACGGAGGACACCACACGCGTAAGGCTTATTCACACGGACACGGACACGGAGGACACCACACGCGTAAGGCTTATCGCCCGTGTCCGTCCAACCATGAACCACCAGGGAGCTCTTGCGACTGAACAGCTTCTCGCACACACCACAGCAGAACGCCCTGCCACAGGCGCCACACGCTTGGGGCTTATCACCCGTGTCCGTCCGATCATGAACCGCCAGGGCGCTCTGCGACTGAACCGCTTCTCGCACACACCACCGCAAAACGGTTTATCGCCCGTGTGGGTTCAGGCATGCTCCCGCAGGCTGCACCGGTACATGAACGCCTTGTCACATAGCTCACAGCGGAACGGCCGCTCTCGGGTGAGGATTCGGGCGTTGCATACCAGCGCCGTCCTCTTGATGAACGCCCTGCCGCTGAGCTTGCAACAGGACGGCTTCTCGCCGGTGTGCGTCCGCGAGTGGTCCTTCAAGACCCATTTGTGGTTGAACGCCTTGCTGCAGACGTCACGGGCGAACGTCTTCTCGCTGGTGTGGGCGCGAGTGTGCCTGTTCGGCCGCTGTGGTCGCCGAACGAAACGCCGCAGAAGTTACAGCTGAACGGCTTCTCGCTAGTGTGTGTTTAAGCATGTCTTGTCAGGTCCTTTTGGCGGCCGAAGGCCTTGCCACGAACGCCGCAGCGGAGCGAGTTATGAAAGGCATGGACTCAAGCATGACTGTTCAGTCTGCTTCTATCGCCAAACGATATATCGCATACGTCACGAACGGACGGTCGTTCGCCCGCGTGGTTTTGGCTGTGAGCGATCAGCGCCTTTTGATATTTAAACGATTTGCCGCGGACCACGCAACAGTGCGGCCTGGCGGCACTGTGGGTCAACAGATGACAAGTCAGGATACTTCGTTGATTAAACGCCTTTCCACACACGTCGCAGGTACACGGTTTTTCACCCGCGTGAGTACGAATACGCATTTCCAGTTGACTGTGGCTGTGAATTTGCAAAACAGTAGTTGGTATCTACAAGCGGCAAACCGAATTAGTATCACCCTTAGCATCATCTGCATCGTCGCCATCATCGTCATCCGCAACATCATCATCATCGATGATGATAACTATTTGGGCTTTGGGCGCGCCGACTGTTCTGGTCATATGGCGCCTTTCATCATTATCATCATCGATGATGGCAACGATTTGGGCTTTGGGCGCGCCGACTGTTCTGGTCATATGACGCCGATCATCATTGTCATCATCACGCATGCATTTTTAACACCAGGAATAATAGCCGGCACAGCCCGATGACAGTGAAAACTACCTCTGGCTGCGCTGGCGACACTTCTCTCGAACGTCGAGACGCCGAAGTCGTCCTTGAAGGCGGGCCCATTGTCACCTCTCTTAAAACGAGCGTTGTTACGTTGTTAGCTTTAGGCTGTTAGCGTTGTTTTCGGCGCTGAAGAGCATTGCAACATCCTGCTACACGGCTGACAGTGGTCTCACGGACAAACGAAAACGGCATTGGACAGCATTCGTGAAAAAATAGGAAAATGATGTCAGTAACAGAAAGAGGAGAACAGGCCAATCACAGAACGAAGAGAACAGCGTCTGTCAAACAACTCATCCACTGTGGGCCAGCCAGTCGTCTTTGAGTTCAGAGTTCTAACGCCGAGCTATCGACCTTCAATACATCAGGAGGTGGGAGGTGCTAGTTAAACACGTCATGAAGCAAGCATTAGATACGGTAGCACTCATTGGTTATCGTAGCACTCAATATCTTAAGCTGTGGATATGATTAGGAGCCAAAACAGCTCCGCAAAGTTTCACGAGAAAACTTGAAAACCAAGGCATCTGAATCCAGAAAATGATCGTCACCTGTGAAAATTTGTTTGCAAAAACAAATCAACAGCATCCAAGCAATTCCTTCATTCTGAGACACACCACGCCATAAGTGTCAGTTGAATCCTCGAGACTCTTTTTATGGTACAACGAGATGGAAGCTAAGCACAGAACTCTACTTTAAACATAAGGCCGCTTCGACCATATTACAATGCAATTCGGCGCACCACGTCGGCCCGAAGAAAGCGCTTTTTCTGTCCCAACTTCGAAGAATAGCACATGCATCTTCTGATCCGCAATCATGTGAGCATGGTCTAACTAAAAAGCACGTTCAGAATAGCAAGAGGGTCTGCTGTTTGTACCACGCGTTCTCGATTCAGCACAAGAACAGCTCTGCGTTGAAAACGAGTCGCAGGGGAAGCAAAATAAAAAAGCTGATTAGCTTTTTAAAGAGGTAAAGCAAGCATATTATGTAGGTGTCAAAACCTCTTTTATAGATGATGAACTGTGCAAACAGGTGAATGTCGCCGTAAGATGGAGTGGCACGCGCGGCGTCAGAGCAAAGTGGACTTGTGGTCATAGTTTAACCTTCATAGTGCAAATGAGGCTAGATGCGTCTGTGATTATCTGTTGAAAGGATTTGCAATGCATGCGTTGATTGACTGAAAGGAAAATGTGCGCGGAAGAACGTAGTGTGAAAGAGATTTTGTAACCTACCCACAGGGGAATTTAATGCAGGAGAAACAAGGTGAAGCATTCGTGACCGGCATAATACATGCCCGGACGGCAGCGCGACGCTCTCGGGTAGGGGACAATTTGACCCCCTGAATTCCCCAAAGCTAAGAGAGCTCAGATTCACAAAGTTCACCAAATTCACGGGGTAGGTAGGCCCGTATGTGATCTGAATTATGTGCAAGTTTGAGGTTCTTGTGTCATGACCTTCAGGTCAAGCAAATTCAAATAATGTCAAATTTGAGACAGGTGTCATAAGTGCCCTCAGACCTTCCCATGCAACCAACTTGATACCTCCTGATACCCCTTGATACCTCTTCTAAGCAAACTGTCAATGCTGTTCATATCAGGGCAATAACCATATCTGACGTTTAGAAGGTCAAGATGACCAAAATCTTGAGAATGTATGGATAGTTGAATTAACATCAGCGTAAAGGCTCATGCTAGGAGGCATGCTCTTCTAAATAAAAGGTCGCGTGGTGTACTTTTCGGTCAGCGACCTACTCTGATATAACATCCGACATCTGATTACATCCCCATCTGACATCCGACAGGTCCAAATAAGGTATCTGTGGACATCCATGCAGTCAACAAGTTCGAAATAAGCGTCAAAATATACAACATAGAGCAAGTTCTTCAAAAAACAATTGTTTACTCTTGAACCCAACCTGACCTGCACACTTTTCTAAGGTCAGTGGTGTGAGGCGTAATCCTAAATTGTGCAACGTGTTGCAAATGTCTTCTTGTCTAAGGATCTATCCCAAATACGCATGGCTTCGACTAACAAACCGTTCTCACATTGGGTTGAATGATTCCCTAGGCAGTGCCCTCGCTGACAGGATTGGCCTGACTTTGACTTGCCATAGGTTGGCAACTTTATACGGAGCATCTAATTTTATTGGCTCAAAAAGGCTACTCAGTTACCTGTAGTTACACAAAGTTTAGCGTGGCTGGCAGTGCCAATTTTTGTATAGTTGCTATGTAGCAGCGATACAAAATTTTCAGCCGCTAAAAGCATGAATACAATAAGGTAGCAATTCACCTATGTGATAACAGAATAGTTTCATGTAGCGTCCAGCAAATGTTGCGGAAAACCTGCATGGGTCAAATTGACCCCAACTCTATGCAAGCGTGTGTTCATGAACACTTTGGAGAAACATGTTTTGGGAGATGGTGCGCCACTAGGTGAATGCGTGGTTGAGCGACAAGCAGCAATGAAGCCTAGCATAACAAATGTCATTAAAAATGTAAACTTAAGCAAAATCTAGAGACAACGTTGACCCGAATATATTGTAATCGCAGCAAGTTCGTAATCCTCGTCCGAGGGTGACCACACAAATGTCATCATGAGACCTGACTTGAGCAATATTGCTCTAGTCATGCACGTTTGGAAATAGCTCGTTATTCGTTGCGGATACCAAAGCCGCTCTCAGATTTCTTTCTATCCTGATACACAGTGGGGGCATCCAAACCTCTTTCAGCTCAGCCGTCTGTGTTTCGTGCACCCCTTGACGTGGAGCCCTGTATCTGTGTCGGATGTAAGGGTCGGACTATTTATTATTTTTATATCGTTTCGTGGGAGGGCTTGCAGAGATTCCGGGCATTTTCTGGATCCACGTTGAAGGGAGTGTTCCACATTTGTATGGGGCTTTGAGCTGAGAAATAACCATCTTGAAGACCTTTCGGTGCAGTTCACAGCCTTGCCCTTCTTAAGACCTAAACTTCTTTACTCTCTGAGCTTCAGGTCCTCGAAAATGGGGAGGACATTTCTGGAGAGTATTCTAGTCACCTTGGCATTCATGACGTCATAATAACGTCATTATGTCTGCCATTCCACAAACCATACGGCGATCAAGATCAAGGCCGATAAAAATATAATGGTTGAGTCGTTCAGGCGTTCGTGAGCACGATGTCAAGATATAACTGCCATCACTTGGCTCTCAATCAATGCTGTACAAGATACGAAGACATAAACAGTGACGTCTTGCGGGGCATGTTTCCTATGCCAGACATCGTGTCGTCTAGGGCGGTCCTTTCCATTTTAAAGCATATCAATAGTTTAAGTGAGCTTACTTTATCATGGCTGACGCCTGGGTCAGTTGCTTCAAATGCGGGACATTCCCTTTAAACTTACTCTACCTTTTTCGCCCTTGATCGTAAGCGCGGCTTGAAACGTGAAATCCTGCCAACAGAACAGATGTTTGCTCTATAGCGTCGTTCTACCAGCACCCTGGCATATCAAAGATTGATATCTCGGCATTAAACTATGAGGTTATATGCAGAAACACGAGCTTTAGAATATCTACATCCTCCGAACTCTTTCAGAAAGAGCTTCTAAACTCCCTCGGCCTTCCTTGCATATATCAAGAAAGAGGTGGCGTAAATGGCTTGCAACAGCAGCGGCATCGTTGGTGGACGAGAATATAGTCATCATCTCTAAGGGCCATTCCTCGTCCTGCGTAGGCAATGATAGCAGCCCGAGCGAAGCCCGAAGATCTCGTGACGTCACCTGAAAGCCAGCCGATATATGCGCGCTCCCCCATTCCCGTATTTCAGAGCGTCGCAATTGTACCTTTCGGGCGCATGGATCACAAATACCATGCACCAGTTTTGCAAGGTCCGGGGCGGATCCAGGATTTTGTCAAGGGGGACGCAACATTCTGGGGCCTCCTGCAGTTTGGGCCCCACCCCCCGAAAAAAGTATCTCTGCGTTTCGGTCATTACGTTTGGAGGCAATTTGTACGTTATATATATATATATATATATATATATATATATATATATATATATATATATATGCATTTACTTATTCATTTATCTAAAAGATACGGAAACCCACTTTACTGTGCACAGCCTGATAATGCTAAGCGTGCTATGCATGCATACACACAAGTCATTTTAAATGCTGTGATTTTGAGGCCAAGTGTTTCGGAACAACGGGCAAAGCAAACTTGAGTTGGCTGCTAACGTCCATCACAGCCAAGTTGACGGCAAGTTGACATAAAGAGCCAATAGCAAAATTTCTCCAGACAGCGTAATGAGCCCCCAGAATTTCCCCCAAACAACACTTATTCAATCAGCGAGGAATAAACTTCGTTTGCTTATGAACCCTTTAGTTTTGCTAACAATGATTCTTGCCCGTCTGTAGGCCCAAAGGCATCCAATTTTGTTGTATTTTTGTTTTAAGAAAACTGCGCCCGTCCGACCGGTTATGGGCCCCTTCGGAGCCTTTAGGTCACCTCGGCATGGTCCGTGGGGCATGGTCCCGTGCCTCCCACCCTCTTCCCCCCCCCCCCCCCTCCACACTCCGCATCCGCCACCGGCCGGAGCAGGTTAACAGATGGGGCTCGCCAAGGACATAGGGCCATCCACTCAAATACGAAATGCTGACGACGCAATGTGTAGGACTCTGAACGATCGGGTGCGCCCGAGCAGGTTAATATATAGGGTCCCGTCAAGAGCGTAAGGCCCTCCATTCAGATAGGAAGCATTCAAAATCTAATGCAGAGGACCCTTGAATTATTCAGTGCGTCGGTGCAGGTTAACGTACAGGGCCCCGACAAGGGCGTAGTGCCCTCCATTTAAATAGGAAGTACCCAAAACCCAATGCAGAGGGCCCCCGAGTGATCGAGTGTGCCCGAGCGGGCTAACAAATAGGGCTACCATCAAGAGCGTAGAGCCCTCCATTCGAATGGGAAGCACCAAAGACCCTAGATAAACGGTCCCTGAATGATGGAATGTGCCCAAACAGCTTATCAGAAGGGACCCGGAAAGAGCGTTGGGACCTCAATGGAAATAAAAAATATTCAAATCTGAGTGCGGAGTGCCCCCGAAAGATGGAATATACCCGAACAGATTATCAGGTGGCCCAGACAGGAGTGCAGGGCCCTAAATTCAAATACCAAGACCCAATATATAGGGCCCCCGAACAGCCCAGTGTGGCCAAAGCGGTGAACAGATGGGGCCCCGACAAGTACGTAGGGCCACATTCAAATAGCACGTGCCCAAAGCCCAATGTACAGGGCCTCCAAACGATCCAACGTGCCCGAGCAGGTTATCAGATAGGTCCGCGACGAGAGCGTAGAGCCCCCTATTCAGAAAAAAATATCCAAGACCCAGTGTGGAGCGTCCCCGAACGTCTGAGCGTGCCCAAGCAGGCCATCAGATTGGCCCGCGACGAGAGTGAAGGGCCCTAAGCAAGCAAGTGATAAAAAACTGGAAATGCCCGAGGCCAATGTGGAGGGCTCATGAGGATATTGCAAGTGTGTCGTTAGGTTATCCGAGACCCACGTAAACTGCAGCTGAGCAGCCGAGAATATCCCGGAAGGTTAACATAAGACAACCCGGCTTTAGCTCACAGAGGCTTTCTGGCGGGTGGAAAGAATCCATGGAAGGGCCCGTGATTGACAAGAGTGCCCCGGCACGCTAACAGGAAGGGCCCCAACAACAGTGCAGGGCCCTCGGAGCAAATGCAGAGAAATAAAGGGCAACATGGAATGCTCCTTAGCGATCAAATTAATCCTGCAAGTGGGCACATGGGTCTCCCGGAAACAGCATGGGGCCCCTAGACAGTGTACCGAGGCTTAAAAGCTCAAGTCATAACTTGTGCAATCACCAAATGATTATTTTGCGACTTCTCACAGGCCCATCACTTTTACTTACAGCTGTTCTTGGTCGCCTGAAAGTCCAGAGCTACCCGGTTTTGTTGTGTTTTGTGTTTAAAAAACTGCACCTGTTCGGCCAGTGCTATGGGTCCCCCTTGGAACCAATGACCCCCTTCGGGACCCAACAGGAGGGGGGGGGGGCATGGCCCTGTGGCCACTCCCCTCCTCTGGATCCACCCCTGTGCAAGGCTCATTTGCTAACGGTTATGCATTTAACATGAATTTACGATGCTCAATGCCTGTAATTTCGCCACGACACATAACAAGGCTCAGCTCAGAGCGGAACCGTGTATAAGTAGGTACTTATTGGAGTGACCCATCAATTCTCCAAATTGCAGTGCCTTCAGGCAACAGCCTCTGCCAGTGGTCTTCTTCCATGGTGGGCAACGGGCATAACGCTTCAACTGCAACAGCAGGCGAACGACCAAGACGCATCAGCCCCGTCACCTCCCACTGGGCAGCGACCTAATGCTGCGACTCAACATGCAGTTTAAAGTTCGGTGGGAGTGAGATAAACAAAGTCCACTGTTTTTTTCATGGCTCGTGACGTCACTGGTGCAGGAGGGAGGCGGGAGGGGGGGGGGGGGGGCAGCTACGCTATCGACAGATCGGTGTAGCTGCCGTTTCGTTCCCAGTTTGGATAGTCTCCAGCCTCCCCCAGGTTTACTCTCATTCATTCCTAACTTCGAAAGAGGAGTATATAAAATCCGTGGTCAAAAGTGAAAGTGGGATCTCGTAAAAATAGGATCGTTTGCGAATTTCACCTGGCCCAGCCCCTCCCTCACCGGTTTTGCAACATTACCACTGCATGTCCCAGCGATCAGATGGCCACGTACAACGTGCAGACGTTGCGGCCCGACCAGGCGCTGGCGTCTCACAACGTGCGACGGCCAACGTTAAATGCTGGAAAACAACTGCTAAGACGATTGCACCCGTGCTATGTAAAACGCGACTACCCGACATTTGCAAACTGTGTTTAGGGTCCAGGACTTACCTACCGAACGTACAGAATTGGGCGACCAACGCGTTCGGAAGCCAAGGTCGCGATGCGTCAGAGTTGAAGAGCCCACCCCAAACACGAGACTGAGGTGGCCGGAAACGACCCAAGACCGTGAGGAAACCCATAGAGGCCTTCTTATCCGGAAGTTGTTTTGGAGCGCCGCGACGGCGACAGGACCACCAGCTTCAGCAGCCCCTTCACCACCTGCTTCAGCAGCCCCTTCACCACCAGCTTCAGCAGCCGCGCCGTCATGCGGGCATCACATTCAACGGTCCCATTCAAACCAGCAAAGCTCCAAGACCAAGAAGGTACCTAACAATGACCAGCAACGTAAGAGCCTCTTCGGCGTTGGGACAGCCGACAGGCAAAGAAGTCCACGAATGTCGATAAGAAGCCTATCACTGGACGCGCGCTTATCTAAGCGTGTCAACATTTATCAGCCACGCTTTGCATTAAAATCCCACACCTTTGGCAGTGAGCACGGCATGCCACCACAAATTTCGATGGACACGATGGAACAAAGTTATCCGACGGTATTCAGTGATTAAGTGGGCTAGGTTAGAATAACCGTATTTATTGGGTCCATGTCAGCGCATGTCGCCATGTCATTCGCCACTTTTATCAAAATGTCTAGGTCAGTGATCAGCCAATCCGGGAAACATTGCTCTAAAACAGCGATTGTGTTCATCACCTGCGTATAAAACTGAAATATTTCCTGAGCCAATCGCTTTGCCTCAGTAACCGGACTTGGCCAAGGTGCAACCGGCATCTTTATTCCTTGAAGCGGCAAGAATTCAGTCCACAAATTCATCCGCCTCATTGTCGACATCCGACGAACACTGTCGCTTTATGTTTGGCGTTTTGTTTGCTTCGTTTTGGCGCACGATGTCGGGTATGTTTATCCCGATAAGATCGCCGAACGAACGATTTTCCACAAATCTCACAAGGGAACTTGCCTGTGGTCGGCGTGGCTTCGAACATGAGACATCAAGTTGCATCGGAGATTGAATAATTTGCCGCAGATCTCACAAATGAATGGTCTTTCCCCCCGTGTGAATTCGATGGTGGGCTTCTGGATGTCTCGTGAGTGGGGACGGAGGATACTGGCCAGTTTCTCCACGGTCTTTCATTGGTAAGGCAACGAATACAAACGCGCTATACTATCGTGGCAACCACGCCAACACGGCAACGGCGAATGTTTTCTGGATTTCCATCCTGGGCGTTAATCCTTGCGCTGGTCGAGCTGAGAACAGACCTCGCAGGACTTGGCTGCAGGTAAGACTCACGTAAGTGAAAATAAACAACATATCCACAGTATGATCGCTTTACATACTTTCCCGCGTGCCGAGGATCCGCTCTGCCTCACTCATCAACAGCCTTCATGTGTGTGCGTTGACCCTCGCGCCCCCTCCAAAAAGCAGGCGCCTCCTCGCGCCTCGCACCACTCACGACACGTGACACAGCCCTACCGCTGCCGCGCCGTCCACAGACGGTTTGCCTGATGACGTCGCGACCCCGCCTGTGCCTGCTGCTGCTGCTCGGCCGTGTGCCGAGCAGCCCTGGCGCGGCGCCCGTCCTGTGCCTGCGGACGAGTGTGCGCGGCGTGCTGCTCGCTCGGCTTGCCAGCGCCTCGCTCCCAGTGCGCAGTGCGCCTCGCCGCTGCAGTGCGTCAGCTTCTGCAGCCTTCGGTCCGACTGCTTTTCCTGGAGCCTCGAGGCGGCCAGCGGCACCTGCAGCGCCTGGGCGGAGCCGCTCGCCTCGGAGCCGGGCGAAGCGCTACTGGACTTGTTTCGGCGCGTGCCGACCGGCTACCGCCTGGCGCCTGGCGGTATGTCCTACCGCTGGCTGGCGGACAAGAAGAACCAGTCGGCCGCGCAGGACGCCTGTTCGGAGGCGGTACAGGGAACCGTGCTGGCGGCTCCCATGGATGACGAGGGCATGGCGGCACTTCTGAAGACGTTGGTCCGTGGTGGCTACGCCCAGTTGGGTATGATATGCTTCTCAAATGTGTGCCGTAACATGACCGGCGGAGTGGTGTCAGTCACGAGTGGTGTCAGTTACGAGTGGTGTCAGTTACGAGTGGTGTCAGTCACGAGTTACGAGTGGTGTCAGTTACGAGTGGTGTCAGTTACGAGTGGTGTCAGTTACAAGTGCTGCCAGTTACGGAGTGGTGCCAGTGAAGGCGAGTTGGTTCGAGGGAGGCACCATGCTTTTATGCCATTCTTCTACCCCGCAATGCGTTCGCACGAATTACCTCGGACTTTTCCTAAGAGCTTGCAGCAGCGCCCATCCTTATATCTGTCAGGTTCAACTCTGAAGCCAATAAGTCAAGTCCAATTAATGGTTTTGGCCGTGCCACTCGCTATAAGAAGAACGCTTTATTTCGAAGGCTTATATGTGGCGAGCATGCGTGCCTGATAGTATAGAACTTTGTAAGCTACCACATAGCTTGCTGCAGTTGCGTTTCAAAATTAGATAAATTCAGTCAGGTGTGGTACCAGAGGTATCCTACTACTGATAGCAGTGTTTTCCAGACAACGGATAACTAATGAATGGTTGCACCATGCAATTTGCCACATAGGTGAGTACTTATTTGGCCCTGTTGCCGAAAACAAAAAAACAAAAAAACATTGCATCCGGTAATTTCGGATCAATAAGGCATGGCGCTAGATCCTCACTCTCACAGAAGGGCTTTCAGGCGAATGGGCTGCTTCTTCTGTTGCTAGACAGTGGTGATGCATCAATGGCCCACGATGAGGAAATAGTTGTGAAGCGATGCTACCCATATGCTCTTTCGCGCAAATAGGTCACGTTGGACTGTTCAATAGCCAGTCAAATTTACAGTCTTAATAACTTTGCTTCCCAGGACCCTACGAACTCTGATAATTTCTGCCACCCGTCTCTGAATATTCAGATTATCTTGGTCTAGAAGCCTAAAATTTTACTCAAAAGGGCTAAACAATGAAGCTCTAGGACTCTTGGGCATAAATATTTCGACTGTTTTGCCTTTTTGCTAGTCGCATCCAATCCTATGTCTGCCAAGAACACGGTTGAAGCACATGATTCTCAACTCGACTCTTAATTTAACAGGACGCCATCGGCGATCTAGATGCTGTTTCTTTGTCACCTGGTTGCCGACAAGCGAGGAAAAGCTCCGCCACCTGGAGGTAATGCTTAAGCACCTTTGCTTTGACCCGTCCGAACCATCATATTAACATTTGCCCACACTCCTAATTTGGGCAAAACCACAAAGCATGCATTAGGTTTCAAAGAGGCTTCTCTGCCTCTAAATCTTCATATTCGTGTAAACGGATGGTGAATGCGGAAAAGTTAGAAGGAAACCATCAGAACAAGCACTTTTCATAGCAAAATGGTAGCAAAAAACACGATGACATCAAGGAGTGCCGGCGTGGCCACTGCCGCGGCACTCATTGCTGCCATGGAATGCCGCGGCCAGAACGAGTGGCATCACTACTTGTGATAACACTTATTCCGCCCACGTGTAAGTATTTGCATTGTGCGGCGCTCACGAATATGTGTGTGATGCCGTGCGATGTCAGGACTGCATTTTTCACTTTCGTTGACACATTTTGCGTTTAGGAATGCCCGGTATAAACGCTGTCCAGTTTCTCACTAGTTTGGTGTCACACAGAGCGTCATGTAGGTGCGGATGGCTCGGTGCATAGACATTTATTGTACACTTGGAACATCCAAACACGTGTCAGCTCCTCTCACTCATCACAACGAATGCACGTGAAGCATGAGTTCGCAGTGGGACAAGTTTGGGCAAGCGGAGAATAAGTGTCACATGATGGAGCCACTGTGCGGCATGTCCCTTGCAGTGCAATGTCGTCGACTGCCGCTCTTCGTCGGGTTTTACCAGCTTGACAACTACAAGTAGCTAGTTATAGCTGCCTGGCACATCACCCTCGGCTGAATTATTTACTTACATCGGTTAAGAATCACTGTCGATATCATGCACTGTTGTTAAAACCGTAGATAGGAGTGATTCATTTGTGAGTGAGAGATTATCAAGCATTTCACTTTCCTTTTGCATTGTTTTAAACGGGGAAAAGTAAACAGGGAGTCACACAACATGATTAACAGCAGCCCCAGGCGTTTCTGTGCCAGTGCCAGCACACATATGTTAAGGGACTCTAAATTTTACCTGCTCTGGTTGAGGCTTATCAGTCGTCTATGCCTATTTTGCCTAGGGTCTGGATTCAAATGACGGCCAAATTATGTTTTCAAAGTTATTGATGAACTCGGTAACATAAAAAGCAGGAAACGTGCGATTGGTTACCTTCCATATTTGAATCATATCTAACGTGGCCCAAATGTGGCGCAAGAAGAACGGGCGATGCACTTGCCTGAAACGGCCCGTGATTTGCCGCGCTTTCCACAAACATATCTTATGATCACTTAAGATGGTTTAGGTAGTGTTTATTCCATTAAATGGTGAAATTGACTGCTATGAAGATTAAAACAGTTTTGAAAAGTTTGCTGTGATGTATGTTTAGTACGGCTGTCAAAAAATACCCCCATTGCATTGCGTTCCGCATAAAAACAACGCCAGGCCATTCTTACGAATACATTTCATATTACCGTGACCCATTAAGGACCGGAGTGTAGTTTAAGCAAGTGTCATCTATTACCAAGGCAGATTTAACCCCGCCCGCTTACTCTAATGGTCTATGCTCCCCTTCCACTCATACGCATGCATCGGTGTTCTCATATTATCACGGTTATGCGTGTTTTTAATGGTGTCGCTTCTAAATGTGATAAATAAAGCTTCTGTGAGAATGTATGTTTTATGTCTACGCGGTAGCTACATGGACACTGCGCTGCTATAACTATAACGCATCGCGTAAGAGCATAAACCCTGCTCATCGTGTAAGAGGTGGTCCTTTCTACCATGAACTATTTCTTTGTCAGGAATTCTGACGCATGCATTGCTTTCTTGGGCGCCTCTGGGATCGGAGTCCTCGCGAAGTACACCGTACCCCGTCGGTGTCGACGGTATCATACAATGCCTTGAAGCATGAGGGATTTTTGACCAGTCTGCTGGAGGAAAGGTAGTAGTAGTATGTAGAAAGGTAGGTAGTAGTAGGTCGTAGTAAAGGTAATAGTAGAAAGGTAGGTAGTAGGTAGAAAGGTAGTGGGTGCTCAGCGCGTTGTGTAATGCTTTTAGGATATGCTAAGCATTTGCGTTAGACGCCAACACTGTCACGCGGAGCCCTCGGAGACTGCAA